CATTGTTCACCTGCAGAATTAGTCTTCGGAACGACTCTCCGTATTCTAGGACAATTTTTCAATTCAGATCCCCATACTCCTAGCGACCCGGTCACTTACGTAACTAACTTGAAATCTTACATGTCACACCTACGCTATTCTTCACCACCAACACCAAGCAAACCGTCTTATACCGTCCCCGACCTCACAACTTGTCCATTTGTGTTTATACGTTCCGATCGTGTTAAACCACCCCTAAAGCCACCATATGCTGGTCCTTTCCGTGTTCTTTTGCGAAATGACAAATATTTTACTGTTCAATTACACGGTAAGCAGGAAAACATTTCTATTGATCGCTTGAAACCTGCTTAGCTCGACTCCCTTGAGTCAAGTCCACAACCTTGAGTTGGTCCACAACCCAAACTGCCCATCGATAACATTGCTGGCACAACCTCACCACATCGCCCGTTCCGGCAGACACGTACACTGGCCAGATCGTTTCATCGCAAGTTGACATCAACCAGTTCATCACAATTTGACACACTAAACGTCCAAGCGACCATGTTTTTAATTTGTTGTTCCTTTTCGTTAGGGGGAGAGTATTTGTAGCGGACATTTACATGTTCCCTCAGCCAGCTTCACCTAATTTGTCCAGTATATGCGTGCGTACTAGATCCCGCGACTGACCTGCTATACAAGTCAGTTCCTGTCTTGTACGCATCGGAACAATTCATGTTTTATACACACGTCAAACTCTCCCATATAAGAACAGAACACAATCAAACACCAACACACACTAACCCTCACGCTCACTCGCGCGTCGGAACACAGACCGGCTCAACCGAACAACCGCGGACAACTAGGAACGTGTAGCAGTGAATCTGCCAAGAGAAACACGATTACCTGCGTCCAAACCAACTCGGTGGAACTATTGCAACTTCCGCTCAGAACGATAAGTCCCTCATTTGTACATTTCCAATTTTGGTGTTGTATTCGACTCAATTAAGGTGTTGTAACCTAACGCTCTTAAAACAAATTTTATTAGTGTCGCTTTCTAGCCTTCTGATTTATCAAGTGGCTTTTGTTGTTAACAACAGAGAACACTAATAGTCTCAAATGAGGCGAAGTTTGTTCCCTCCTACCTTAAAGTGAAAGCTATGGAAGTATTTAGAAAAGAGTTTTGATGATGATATACTGTCTGTTGTCCTGCAGCATTGAACCCTGTAATAAAGCGAAGATGGTGTACATGCCGTGGACCTCAAGAACACATTGAAAAAACCTTCAACAGTGGACAAAATATAGCTCATTCTTTTGGCTATTTTAGCGCCGTAAGTTGTGTGATTATCCACTGGTTCGCTCTGCCAAATGGGATCAGTGCGAACGACGGGTTCACACAACAAATGAAAACGCTAAGAAGTTCTGGGCCGAAATCGGCTCAAGGTGTTTTAAAAAGATCGACCGTAGGGTGGTCTGTAATATGAAAGTTTTTCATTATAAATTCAGAACAGCGCAGTGGAAATCCGATGATTCGGTTGCCGCGAGTGAACTTCCTCAAGCATTTCCACAATCAGCTGAATACAAGGCCATTACGGCCCGGAACATCCAAGCCTTGTGGACAGTAGGATTCCGTCGTCAAAGGAATATGCGAACTGGGTTATTCATCCTGTCTTCAACCAGCGATGTCTTCACAACAACATGGAAGGTGGCTCACCCCGATCAAAAACATCAGCTTATACAGCATCCCAATTATTCTTGCGTCAGTTTATCCATTCGTGCTGCGTTACTGTAGAATCATTTCTTCGCTGGATGAGCGTTATGGGCGATTATTTCAATTCACCTCTACCACTAAACCTGTTGGCAGGTATAAAGGCTCCAATCACGAAAAGATTGAAGATAGTATTAGAAACGTACAAGCTCAGGTAGAAAGGAAAATTCAACAGACCAGGTGATTTTAGCTGAAATGTTACACTCAAAAACGCTTGTATGCAACCTGTCCAGAGCGGCCTACCTCACAGCGAAATGCATTTGTTAAAAAGAGGTATGTATCTCAACTTTGCCCGGAAACCGCTAAAAACCAGTGAATCAGTTCCGGCTGTAGAGCCCGCGCCCTCGAAGCTTCTAGTAGAGAGATCAGAATATGCTCGATTACGCATCCGCACTATTCTCAAAAACCAGCGGCTAATCTCCTCTCGCGGGAGGAGACAGGTGCACTGAACTCACTGAAGAAAGACAACCTCATCCACGTTACCAAAGCAGACAAGGGAATTGTAATGGTCCTCAGAAATCTAAAAGACTATGAAGATAATGTGCTCGAACAGCTAACCGTGGGTCGTATCAAAAAGATCGAACCGTAGCATGAAAGCCCAACCACCAACAAGACCAAACATTGGGTTAATAAGTATGTACGACAACTAAAATCCGGGGCCTACCAATTACGGTGATATTCATTTGTAACTAAAACCAACAGACACGGAATATTCTGTGTTGCCAAAAATACACACGTCCACCGTGGGCCACACAGCTCGTTCAACCTGCTATTTATCGGAATAATTAAGCAGTTTTTGCAGCCGCCGCAAGTCACGTAAATGACTCTTCTGATTTTGTCAGTATCCTTCAATCTACCTAAATCATTGACGATGAATAAGCACTCAGCTTTGACGTGACAGCTCCTTGTAATGGCGTACCAATTAACGACTTCTTATCTTTTCTGTCTTCTATTTGGTGAGACGATGCAACCCTAGCACAGAGAACAACCGTAACCCCAGTTTTGACGTCATTACTGGTGTTGAACTGTCTGAGAACCACGTAGTTCACCTTTCAAGACACGCTCCACAGACACACTGACGGTGTTACTATGGGCTCTCTAGTATCTCCCATGGTGGCTCTTCTTTTCTTGAAACCATATTGAAACTAAGTCCTTACGTGAATTTGCCCATCCACCACGCAGCATGTTGAGATACATTGACGATATATTTACGATCATATCAACCACAAAATGGCAAGACTTTCTAAGCTGCTTCAATGAATAATGCGATACTATACAATAGACGATTGAAGTTGTGAACGAGCAGCGGACCATTAGTTTCCTGGCGTGCAAGCTCTCGGCTAATGCTAATCATGGGTTCTCAGTGAGAATCCACAGAAAACCTACACATCCACGGAGGTATTCACATTATGAGTCCACACTACGTCAAATCCGCAGTTGTCGGATCGCTGACGAATCGCATTAAGAAACTATGCTCGGATGAGCAGACGAACTGACCAGACTCAGTAGAGTATTACTGCAAAATAAATACCCCATGAGGCTGATTGCCCAACGAATGAGAAGAACGTTATTCGAAATGGTGAGACTGGAAGACAAAAACCCGATGCTCACCGTGGAAATGCTCTACAGAGTTGGCACTTCAGATGTCATTCGTAAAATAATTCGGGATTATGATATCAAAACACTGTTCCGAATGAAAAACACATTACAACGACATCTTGTTGGGTCTAAGGCCCCAACCGAAATGAAACACTGTGTAAATTGCGCCTATCATATTCCATGGGCAGAATGCCCAGTCAAATGCATAGGCCAGACAGCTAGGCAACTCCACGTAAGCATCGCGGAGCACAAATGACATGCGCGTTTTCCTCCAGGAAACCTAATAGAGTTGAAAAAAATAAGTCGCGATTCAGCTAAGTGCACTTTACGCATCTGAATCACACCATCAAGTCAATTTTGATGGTACATGTATAATACAGTCAAGATTCAACTAACATTTGGAAACGGACATGCGCTGAGGCCCCTAGATATCAAAACACCTCCGAACGGCATCAACCGGAGTAATGGTGCCATCATCCTGACTATCTGGATTAGACTTACTGCACACATTAGCAGGCATAGTAACCATACATCAAGCAGGGACCTCAACAATGACGCATCACAGTCGGCATAAAAACAAACGGAAGCACATCCAGCGCAATCAGAGTACACACACAATCACCCGTACATACACGCGCACGCACGCACGATCACCCGATCTGACTGTCAACTGACCACAGGAATGCACAAATCAGTGGACCCAAATGACGCTGCATTTGACTCGTATTCAGTTGATTGTAGAAATCCTTGAGAATGGTCACCCATAACAACCAAGACGTCGAATTACAACAGCCCATTCCACTACCCTGGGTTCTGACTTCATAGTTATAAAAATTTCGAAATACTCTCAAAAACCCTCATATTTTTGAGAACAATTTAACCATGAATGCGAACCAAAAAATCCATGTAAAAGAAGCCAAATTTTCACACAAAAATGTAGCTCCTAGTAAGAGAGTAAAGAACGTCTATGGTCACTCAAGCGCTTTCATCGTGTTGTTTCTCATTCAAACGCAAAACACGACTTTTTGTCGAGCGAAATTCATGGTATTTTGTTGATGTGACAAAACGAATCCTCAGCAGGTTCATTCTCTACGTGTCCAGACGAAACCTGGCAAAATGCCTGGGAGAATACTGTGTTCTAGTCGCACTCAAAAATTCCAAAGTGATCAACACACCCTTGGCTACCATCTCACTCGACTCCCTGTCCATTTACACCATACTCATTTGACTAGCTCAAGTCATCCTATTGGTGACCTGAACTACAGGTTCTTTGATAGGTAGCCAATGTCATATCACTCGATTCCCTGTCCGCTTACACCATACTCATTCAAATATGTTAAATATCGCTCTCTTAACCTTTGCAACTGTATGACTTGAAAAGGCCTTGCCGAAAACATGTTCGTTAACCCATCTGTGTTCTTATTATAAATGGGAATTTTCGAAAATCAACACACCCCTCAGTGTGCGTTGAATGTGGTTGAATGGCTGCGGCATGCTCTCATCTAAGCTGAGTCGGATTTGAGGAAAGTGCTGCACCTAGTAAGCTCAAGGCTGTGTTGTAACATGTGGTGCGGCCGCAACCGTTTACGAGCAGAATTTCAAACTAACCCGGATAAGAGCGGGCGGCGGTCGATCATTGTCATCATCATCCTTTGGTATGGACTGGGAAGAGGATCGGTATGGTGGTAAGCTTTAACGGGCATTGATCCCAAGTTGTGTTTTTATAAAACAATCGTATCTCTCTCCCTCTTTGCCTATAAATACTCGAACATGAAGACTTCGTGTTTACGGCTCATGCGTGTAAAAAAAATACTGCGGAGAGTTTTTCACAGACCATGCTACCGCAACTCATACTGGTGTTCCGAATGTGACATGCTTGAGCTGCTGGAAATGATGCACCAGCTATTGTTGGTCTTCGACCGTGGAGTGTTTCTTACACATAAATTAGGTTACATATTCTATTATATACGCTGGCGTGCACCTGTCTTGGTGAAATCCCGTTTATGTACAACCCACCTTGCCCCCTGGAGTTTATTCGTGTGGCTGGAGCCATTTAAGATCGTATTACCCGCTAGCTTTGCTAGTGAGGCATGCCGGTGCCCCATACGCCGACAGTGCCCTTATTAATGTAAAACCTGGGCTTAGCGTCATGTGTTTATTACAAGAATGGATTCATAATTTCTAAAGGAACTGCTTTTGTTTCTTGACACCAAGTGCCCTGATCTTAAGTCCACCTCAATGGAGGTCGTGTACAAAATATCTGTGACACATCTATTTGCGATTTCACCTCGGCTTTGCCCACTGTTAATTTTAGTTGACGTCACACTTCCCGGGAATTGCCAATGTTCTGCTGAAGTTTACCAGGAAAGTTGTTCCCCTTCCTCATTTAGAGAAAAGCAAGCTGATGGAAGGTTAAAATTCCCTCGGTAGAACGGAATGAACTGCATGGCGAAATTTAGACTACTAACGACAGGACATAATCCCGCTTTTGGTTACAGAAGCTGAATACCACGACTTCTGATAGATGTCAACGACCTCCTTTCCCCAGATTCTACCAGGCTTGTCTGAATGAATATCCGTGACTGTGGGCGCCTCGGAGTTTTCATGGTGGACTGACACAAGGTACTCATTTTCTTTTCTCCACAGTTTACCTCTCCCATTGATTGAGGTTGAACGCCAGTGTGGCATTAGCCTTCTGCACTGATGTTATGCCGCTGATGGTGACGACTCATCGTGAACTACTACTGGCCCCCGTAGCGCACCCACGACCATTAAATAAAATACGAAATATGTGTTTAAACTCTATGATTGTTCAGAGGGATCTGTCTTGGAAGACAGTGTGTGCACGTTGAATAACTGATTATCTGATGGAGTGAGTTGTTCCCGACCTAAAAATTCAGCCACTTCCACTAAATATTTGCATAAAATATAAACTGTACTCTGCGTCAGGCAAGTTGTACACCAGTGTGGCTCTATGTGAAATTTTCCGATGCTTGAAAGCTAATTAGCAATCACCTTACCGTTTTGACCAACTCCATTTTACGCGGATTCTGCAGAAGGAAACAACTAAGACATACAAATCTGGTCGATAAGTGCTGTACTTATCAAACTGAACTCATTGAACATGTATCACTGGAAATTTTGAATTCTACCCTACACCTCCTCGACGGCAACGAGAGACACTCAGAAAATGAACAAGTATTCTACCTTGCCAGAAAAGGCTAAAACGGCTTAGCTTGATGTTCAGAAGCTGACAAACCCTTTAGTGTTTTTATTAGGCGTGTCTGTCTATCGTCTGTCTCTCTGGTGTTTGTTTGGGTCTGCAGAATGTATGAATCTTCGGTGCTCGAGTAGATAACGATTCAATTATCAGTACAATTGGCACTGGGGGGTATGACACAACATTGTCTAAATGTCAGCCGACGACTCCTCACTGATTATAAATCAAAACACAGGAGCGCAGTGTATAAGTCATTACTGATATAACAGCTAATCTACCAGTGACATAAACTTCATATGTAGTATATTCGTAATGACAGAATCGGGCCGTCAAACCGCTGTAAAATAAATGACCGTTAATTCGGCTGCAATTTTGTTCTATAGTTGGTGACTAGTTTGAGTAGGAACAACAAAATTTTTTGCACCTTTATTACAAAAAGAATCTTCCTCAGGTTTATATGATCACATTCACTTGGGAACTTGTGCAGAAGTTATCCATTAGCTTCCAGATTTTCAAGTGTGGAAAGATGAGTCTTTACCTGGACTAAATTCTTAGGTTCTGGAAATTTCGCATCAATGGCTGGCAAACATCCACAGGAAAGTGTGATTTATAGACTCACATTAGGTTGTTGGTATTTCGGGAAAGGCTCACTTGGGCTGCTTGCTCTTGAAGTACACTTGGCCCTGAACCTAAGGAATGTCGGCTCCTTAGTTTGTAAAACTGGACGAGGCCCTTCCAAACATCTTCTTGAAGGAGCTGGACGAGAGAGTGGGATACAGTTGGATTAGAGCTGAGAATAACCAGAGTGGTCCTTAGTTACACAGCATTGCCATGACACTATTTACTTGTTTCAGGATACAACGCCCAAAAAATTCACTGACTAAGATTTAAGCTGTAAACAGGCATGACAAATGGGGAATGAGGCTTCTCTTGAAGTCCCAGTCACAGAAAAAACGGATCATGTATATATTCACCGTGGAGGAAATCAATAAAACGTAAACGCAGACATCATAGAATACTCCCAAGAGGAGCATGGATCCTGATAACCCACGCAACTCGCCCAAAGCCAGAAGGTTATGCAGAACGACTAGAAGAGGATCTTTAATTGCCAAAGGCCCGTGCCAAAGCGGCAGTGCTGGAGCAAGAAGGACATATAGCTTGACACAATCATTGGACTGAGAATCATAAGAGGATCGACTAGAAATCGTTTGTACTATGAAAGTGATTTTGGAATGTGTCTATCAAACAAAGCTTCGGGTTTGAGTAGAACCATATTACATTTCACGAATGCGGATGTGATATTAGTTGTAAAGCTACTGAATGTCAGAAGAGGTTCCCAGAAAGAGATTTTATATTTTCTGCAATCCCGGAGTCCCGGGATAAATTTTTTAAAACAGCCTTATTATCTCCATCTCACTTGAAGATAAGGCCGGTTAGTTGTTCATGACTTTAAAGGTGAATAAGATGAGTAAAGTATACTTGAAGGCACGTTTCAAGCTCCGACTTGCATATTTGTTAAAGGGATCAAAACCTTTCAGTGAGGAAATGGGGCCATTCGCCAATACCTAGCCGGAATAAGACGACATGGACGTTGGAACTTCTGAACGCCGAAAGGGTTTGCAGCGGAGAAGTCAGTCTCTCCAGGGGGTTGCGGCCCGGTAACTCTGAAGGATCAGGAAAACCTGACAGTGAAACCTGCCGGAATTAATGCTGCTTCCGAAATCTTTTACTATGGGTCTTGAATGCCCCTGTAGTTGATATCATCTTACCATCCTGTTGGGTTGATTCTATCTCAACTACGGTTCTTATCCATTAACTCGGAAGGTGTTGTCCACCCGCTCATTGTTTGTCTACTGTCCCTGTTTACACTAGCGCCTTCTTTACACAACGGAGACCCTATGATTGCTCTTGCTTTGCTGAGCTAAAAACTACCGCGATGTAATCGCCTGTTCCAACTAGTCTAGCGGTTAGCCACCCTGTTAGCTACCTCAGCCGCCATGTCTTTACCTTCCCAAAATTTGGCCTAGTTAGTACTTGCTTTCTAACTCAGCCAAAAAAATTTACCCTTTTCTAGGTGCACTTGGCTTGCTGTAACCCCCTTTTGGATTTTTTTCCCATTGGGTGCCATTTCGTCTGAAGCCTCCTGGCACCCACCAGACGCTACTGCTCTCATTCCATTCCTTCCTCATTCCCCCTCTCCCCAAGCTTCAAACCTCGACTGTAGTTGCGAACCCCGTAAAATCTCATTCCATTCCTTCCTCATTCCCCCTCTCCCCAAGCTTCAAACCTCGACTGTAGTTGCGAAAATGCCCCGTAAAACTGTTGTTTATTCGATCTGGCTTGTTCGCGGTCCACACCCACGTGACCCACCACTTCCACCGAAATTCCCACGACTCTATATTGGCCTGACTCCACCTGTGTCAATCTTCTCTTCTAACCCGTATCCAGCTGCCACAGAAATGCGCATCCGATTGCGGCAACCTTGACGAGCGTTACGGGGCTGTCCAGAAATCGAAGTATATCAGCGCAACGATGGCATGGCACTTTCGTACCCAGTCTGATGGTACTCTCGGCTGCAATCTGTCGCGCACTCAAGCCTGTAATAGCAACAATAAACATTTTTTAACCCAGCTGCAATCGCCTCATTCTAAACCGCGAAAGCTATCGTTCAGACTCAATCAACCTAGTTCCTTGCCGCAATTTCGGTTTTCCCCTCCCACAAGTTGTTCGTTCGTGTCCGTTTGGTCCCAAGCAATGGCATTATCTCCCAACCAAAACTACCCTTTACACTTGACTCCCCTATAACAGCGACACTATTGAGTCTATTCAATTTCAATTTAAACCATACTTTTGAGAACAAACTTACCAAATATATCCAGATTGAATTCTTCTATCTCCACCTCCATTTTGGGTTTTTTTGTGACCCTAGCCATTTACTCGACCGCCCAAGGTCACTCGTGGTCGGCAACGGTTTTCACTTTTAGTTCAGGTCAGCCGGTTTGCCCCCACAAGTTTGGACCACTGTTTATGGCACTGCCCATTTTCGCGCACTACTCTGTACCTCCGCCAGTCATGCTATGCTTTTATAACATTATGGTCATGCCTGACGGTGTGCTTCCCACCGGTTGAGAATAAACAACATTTTTATTTCATCCTTGGATACCTTGGACAGAAATGAGGCTACAATGTGGTGCAATGTTATCCACCGCTAAACACATCAAATAAATGACCCGTCCGGAATTAAAACTTCCGAAACGTTTCTCAGTCATGATTTATTCTCGTAAGTAAAATCGAGCAATGCCGAAAAAGCCACTGTCCAGCGCTTGCGTCCATGCTAATAATCATCTGCGGCGTGCGTCTAGCGAAACTCCAGACTAAACGGGATAAGCGACCTGTGGCTTGATATTTTAAACTATTCAGTCAGGAGCGACGGAACGGTTTTGTGAATATCATACGCTTAGAAGG